GGGAGGGAGGAGGGTGGGGTCAGAGGTCAAGGGCGCCTCCCCTCCGGTCCCCGCCCCCGCGGGCCGGACTCACCTCCCGGGCTGTTGTGCACGTAGAGAACGCGCGTGCGCCCCGCGCCCGCGCCGCCCACGCACGAGAAGACGCCCACGAGGTCGGAGGGCTGCGAGAAGCCGCGCAGCGTGACGCGGTGCGAGCCGTTGCGCAGCAGGTGCGGGGGCTGCCCGGGCCGCGGCGTGCGCACGATGCGGTCGTCCTTCTCCAGCAGCAGCGGGGGCCCCCAGGCGTCGGCGCCCGGGCCCGGCCCGGCCTCCCCGGACACGCAGGTCAGGAAGAAGCGCTGGGGCTCGGCGAGCCGCAGGTCGGCCAGCAGCGTCAGGTCCACCGCGGCGCCTGGAGCGGGGGCGCCAGTCCTGCGTCCCACGGGGTCCCCAGCCCGCCCCGCGCGCTCTCCCAGGCGTTTCCCTCCCCTCCCTTCCTGTCTCTCTCCCGGCCCCGCCGCGCACTGGCCCTTTCCTCCCAAGCCTCTTCGTCCTAAAAACAAAAACAAAGCCCCCTCTCCGGCCTCCTGGTGCCCCCCTTCTCCCGCCAGATGGCTTCCCTTTTATAGCCTCGGAAAGAATGATGTATGCTCCCTGTCTCCGTTCCCTCACTGTTTAATTCCCTGCCAGCCCTCTTGAGTCCCCACCTGTCTCAGAGTGCTCTGCAAAGGGGAGCCGCTCTCCGGGAGAGCCCTGGAGAACAAAATCGTCTTCGAGAAAGCCCTCCCTGCCACTCCAGAAATCTAGACAGGCTTGCCATCCTGGGGTTTAAGGGAGAGGCGGGCTTCTATAGCCAGGTGGCTGTGGGGCAGAAAGGAGGGGAGGCCCTCCTTTTCTGTCCCTGCCCGTTACCTGGCAAGTAATTAGTTAGCTTAAATGCCACTTAGCTCATCAATTAATATTCTTCGAAAGCCTACCACGAGTAAATTGAAGTTTGCGTTTGCTGACCGCCCAGCATATGCTGGAGAACCTGCTTTCCAGTGGATCTTCACACCCCCCAGTGAAGTTGATGTCTTTCCATTTACAGAGGAGGGCAGTAATAATTATTCTACAGACTTCCTGGAGCAAGCTCACCTACTACCCTGACTTTAACTATCACCTCCGAGTCCACAACCCTGGGACAGCCTCTCAGCTTGGGCCTGCGTTTCTATCCGCTTCTCCAATCCTGCTTCTCTCCGGTGCCCCCTGACTCAACAGATGGCACTAACCACCTGAGACACAAACTTTGGAGTCCTCTCATGCTCCTACTTTCGTGATAACTAATGTTTATTGGAGGTCAATTTTATGGCAGGCGCTTTATGCATGTTCTCTCATTTTATCATCCAACTATCCCGGGTGGTGGGTGTTATTACTCTAGTTTTATAGCCAGCGAATGAAACCTCAGAGAAGTAACTTGCCCAAGGGCATACAATTAGTAACTGGCAGAGCCAGGTGTTGTCTGACTCTAAACTCTATACCTCTAAGGATGTTGCTGGCTGCCGCCATCAGTCACAAAATTCTGCGGATTCCACTTCCTCAAAGCCTCTTGACTGCACCGCCATCTCCAAGCCCACCCTTGTTTAGACCTCACCTTTACTCACCTGGACCATTCCCAACTCATCTCCCATCTAAGACCTTGTGACTCAATGTCTGCAACTTCCCATGGCTCCTCATTGCCCTCAGGATACAGAGCATGCTCCTGAGCCCCTCATTGCTCACACTCTGCTCGGAGAGGGTGAGCAATGAGACTTGCATCTACTGAGATTTGCATCTCCTCTGAGACTTGCATCTACTGTTCTGGCGGCCTGGAATGAAGACCACTGCTCTTAGCAAAGTCTCTCTGGACGCCTTTGTCATCTACTACCCCCAAGCAGAGTAGCTGACTCCTCCTCAGTGCTCCTCTGGAGCTACTTGTGTCTCTCTTTTATCCTTCACCCCATGTGTTGTGACCCCAACTACCACTCAAAGATAGCTTTTGCATTCTAATCCTTTTTGGCCGTCACTGAAGGAATCAGCTATGGCTTACGCAACAACTGGGCACCGGGCAATCTGTGTAAATTACCTCCTTTAAACCCCATAACAGCCATAGGAGGTCAACATCATAGACTTTGTTACATAGATCTGGAGGCTGTCTGCCTTTCAACCCGTGACCCAGAGCACAGCTCCTAGAATATTGTTGGTGCTGGGTAAATGAATATTTGAATGAATATTTGAATGTCAAATATTCATCGAATGAATCCGACACACCGACCATACGAGCACCCACTGAAAACTTCAGGGACCCCATAGGCCCTGCGGCGCTTTACTGATCCTAAAATCCAGCACAGTCAATGACTGCTGTACTCCCAATGCCAGGCTGCAGAGGTTTCTAGTGCCTGCCTGGGTTTTGGGGGCCTTGATCCCGCTTGCTAGCTGATCGGGGTGCACATAAAGGTGATGGCAGTGATGGTAAGCCTTCTTAGGGGAGAATCAGGGCTTTGGGGGCTGGGGGTCGGAGTGGCTTGGGGGAGACTTACCAACATGAGAAGCCAGACAGAGGATGGGGAGCAGCAAACGGGGCCCCAGCCAGACCATACTCTGGAGGCTGACCAGGTCAGCCAGGACAAGTTAGGCCTCCGGTCAGTTCGTCTGGGTCTAGATGCTGGACCTGAACTGATTAGTGCGTGTTGGTGCTGGGGAGGAAGAGGAAATGAGGTGGCTTGGGTGGGAGGGGTAGCAGTGAAGGGGTGGGGAGGACTTATCCTGCTTCTGCTCACTGCTCCCCCCCCCCGCCCCCAGTCCGGCCCCCACAAGGCTGGGGATGGGTGTGGCCTGGAAGGCCCTGGAATGGGGTCACTTGAGGTGGGGGGAGAGTTGTAAGGATAGACCTAGGGACTGTGTGACCAGTTTTCCCATCTCCTGTTCTCCCTTTGGTCCTCTGTCTTGCCAGCAGGCAGGAGGCAGGAGGCAGGAAAGGGAGGAAGCCAGTGGCTTCCGCCTATTGAGGAGGGACAGGGGAGGATGCTGTTCTGGGGTCTCCCCTCCCCCCAGCACATACACACAATACGGCCCATGCAATTCCTTATGTATGTGTCCTAGGACACCGTTTCACGGGTGTCCTAGAGAGCAGATCACGTACGTAACAAGTGGACAAAGGAACACAAGAACTCATGCTCAGGGCAGAAAAAGAACTTTGATTCTATCTTGCGTATGTAGGCGTGGACAAGTTTTCCCTTCCAGATTCTTTGGCTGGCCTAATAATTGATATGAGGCAGATTAACAGGAGAAAAACAAAAGTTTAATAGCATCTGTATTTCCCTGTAGACATAGGAGTGAAGGGGTTCAGAACAAGTCTTCCTGCAATATGCCTCTTTGGCATGAAGATTATTTTGAGCTAAAAATATTCAAAAACCTAGCAGATTCAGGAAAAGCTCTTTACCTCACTTTCAGCTGCCTAAATTTATATTGGAAAGGGTGCCTGTTCCAGGAAGAGAGCTATTAGCAGATTCCTCTTTACCTCAGGCACTTAACTGCCTAACAGGCCAACCTTTTTTTTTTTTTTTTAATTGAGTTATAATTACTATACAGTGTTATGTTAGTTTCAGATGTACAGCATAATGGTTCAATAATTCTATACACTACTCAGTGCTCACCACGAGATGTATAGACTGTCACCAAACAACAATTATTATATTATTGACTATATTCCTTACGCTGTACTTTTCATCTCTGTGACTTTTTAATTTTATAACTGGAAGCTTGTACCTCCTTATCTGCTTTATCTATCTTACCCATCCCCTCTGGCAACCACTCGTTTGTTCTCTGCATTTGAGTCTGGTTTTTATTTGTTTTGATTTTTAGATTCGACATATAAGTGAAATCATTGGGTATTTGTTTTGTTTTTTGTCTGACCTAATTCACTTAGCATAATGCCCTCTGGGTCCATCCATGTTGTTGCAAATGGCAAGATCTCATTTTTTTTATGGCTGAGTAATAGTCCATTTTATCCACATTTTCCTTATCCATTCATGTATTAATGAACACTTGGGTTGCTCCTATGTCTTGGCTGTTGTAAATAATGCTGCAGTAAAAATAGGGGGTGTATATATCTTTTCAAATTAGTGTTTTCTTTTTTTTGGTGGGGTGATAAATACCCAGTAGTACAACTACTGGATCCTGTGCTTCCTCTGTACTGTTTTCCATGGTGGCTGCACCAGTTTGCATCTCCATCAACAGTGCTCAAGGGTTCCTTTTTCTCCACATCCTCGCCAACACTTGTTATTTCTTTTTTTCTTTTTTTTTAGTCACTCTGACAAGTGTGAGGTGATATCTCATTGTGGGTTTGATTTGCATTTCCCAGATGATGAGTGATGTTGAGCATCTTTTCATGTGTGTGTTGGCCCTCTGTATGTCTTCTTTGGAAGAATGTTTCAGGTCCCCTGCCCATTTTAAAATCAGATTTGTATGTGTGTGTGTGTGTGTGTGTTGAGTTGTTTAAGTTCTTTATATATTTTGGATATTAACCACTTATCAGATATATTATTTGCAAATATCATTTCCCATTCTGTAGCTTGCCTTTTCATTTTGTTGATGAATGACTGGACTGCCGTTGCGGTCAGGGAAAATTCCCCCCATCCCATAGACCCACAGACACCCCATTCCTAGGTATGAGGCTGGGAAGAGCTTTCTCTTTCCTTTGCTGTGCACATAATGGGGCAGCCTTTGTTTTTTAAACATCTCTTCTGCCTTCCTGCCCATACCCACCTCCCTTTTGTAGCCCACCCTTGCCTTAGTTCAGGATGTTATAAGCTTTAGCCACCTGGCTGTTCTTTGGGTCTCATATTTTATAGGGCTCCCATATATGTATGTAATTAAATTTATCTTTCTTCTGTTAATCTGGCTTATGTCAATTTAATTATCAGACCAGCTAAAGAATCTTAAAAGGAAGAAGGGAAGATTTTTCCACACCTGTAAGAGAGACCCAGGAAAACTGAGTAACTCCCCAAAATGGCCAAAGCCATCACTTTAAATACCATCTTCAGCTATGGACAAAAGAGGATGCGGGGGCTGGGGAGTCAGTTCTGGGAGACTACTAGGAAAAGCACAGTAAACGTGGTAAGATTGTTGTGCAGATTTAAGTTTTTGCCCTCTGCTGATAAGAGTTTCTAGAGATTGAGTCGTTCCCTTCTTCCTGGTACAACAAGGGGGAGACACCCTTATAAATGGAGATTTTCTTTATCAGTGTAAAAGGGTAGCTTCTACGCAGTTTTCAGAACTTCCCCTGTGTCTACTGTTTCTTAAAAATAACCAGCTTAGAGGCACCTGGGTAGCTCAGTCGGTTAGGCGTCTGCCTTCGGCTCAGGTCATGATCCCAGGGGCCTGGGATCGAGCACCGCATCGGGCTCCCTGCTCCGCGGGAAGCCTGCTTCTCCCTCTCCCACTTCCCCTGCTTGTGTTCCTCTCTCACTGTCTCTCTCTCTCTCTGTCAATTAAATAAATAACTAAAATCTTAAAAAAAAAAACAGCTTAAAATAATCAATATGCCAAGGAGATATATTCCATGGTGGTATATTTTGCTTCCCTTCATATAGTTTTTTTGTTTTACAGCTGGGAAAAGTAAGGCCTGTGGTGTTTGAGGGCATTTTGGGGTAGCGGCAAGGCTGGGACTTGAACTTCTGACTTAGTGGCTCCTCAAGGGCACCTGTTAAGCAGCTCCAAGGAATGTGCAGGGAGTGAGCCTCCGGCATTTACAGTCCTTAGCTTAGGCTGCTGCCAGAGACACCAGCTCATTGTCTGCCTGATGTCAGATTTTTTTTATGATTTATTTATTTTAGAGCGAGAGGGAGAGCACGTGAGCAGGGGGAGGGTAGAGGGAGAGAGAGAATCTCAGGCAGACTCCCCACTGAGCAGTGCTGGGGGTGTGGGGCTCCATCTCACGATCCCGAGATCATGACCTGAGCTGAAACCAAGAGTCGGACGCTTAACTGACTCCGCCACCCAGGTGCCCCGATTATTTTTGCTGCAAACCCATGCCTATCCCTGGCACTGGGGGTGCACTCATTCTAGAAGGCTGACTTGCAAGTAATATACATAGCCTGGGTATACAAACAGCATGTCACAAATGAAATATCACTGCACAAACACATTCTGAGTGGGTTGTACATGGATTTGCTATCGCAATAGGAATACTTAAAGCCATAAGGCGTATCTTAGAGTCTCAGTCACTGGGAAAGTCATAGTCGAAAGAATGCTCATGAAAATATGCAGCTCTACACATTGTGAGGTCAATCCTTGAACCCCCCAAACAAACTTAGTTCATAATGAAAGAGGTCGACCAAAGATGATTTTTTTTTCCCCTCAAGAACGGGAATAGCAGCATGACCAGCTCCGCACAAGGCTGATAATTCACTGCGGAGAAAGCCGCCTTCCTGCAAATAGTGGGAATTCCAGCTGCCGGTCTGTGGGTGTATTTGGCTGTGCCGTGGGACCCAGTGCCACCCAGCTGCCAGTGGTTTCAGGGCCACCAGGCTTCCTAGTGGAATGCTGAAGTAGAGATTTTAGTGCCACTGAGATTGGGATTTTAATCTAATCTACGTGCCACTTTTAGTTTCCAAATGCCAAATTTTAGGGACCTATAATTGGAATGTTACTGGTAAGAAGCTGTAGTTGGACCAAAAAGGAATGGGTAATGAAATTAACTATCATTTGCCCATATCGACTGAAAAATGGACCTGTGTTTTTGGAACTATCAAGACCCGCTGGGTTTGCTCAATGGTGTCACCTCTAGTGACACTGAAAGTCATTGTGTATTTTTCATAGCTGGTCTAGACTTGGGGCTGCTTCTTGTGGAGAAGTGGTCTCTCTTGGTCTTTTTGGGCTGCCGTAACAAAATACCACTGACTAGGTGACTTATAAACAACATTTATTTCTCACCATTCAGGAGGCTAGAAGCTGGGAGAGCGGGTGCCAACACGATCAAGGTGAGGGCTCTCTTCCAGGTCACGGGCCCTCACTGGGCAGAAGCGGAAAGGGACCTCTCTCGGACCTTTTAAAAAATTTATTTATTTGAGAGAGAGTGTGAGAGCCAGAGCGAGAGCGAGAGCGAGAGCGAGAGAGAGAGAGTGAGAGCAGGAGGGAGAGCACAAGTAGGGGGCGGGGCAGAGGGAGAAGTAGAAGCAGACTCTCCACTAAGCTCGATCCCAGGACCCCAGGGATCATGACCTGAGCTGAAGGCAGACGCTTACCTGACTGAGCCACCCAGGTACCCCTCAGACCTTTTTTAAATAAAGGTATCAGTCTCATTCATGAAGGCTCTGCCCCCGTGACCCAATCACCTCCAAAGCCCTACCTCCTAACATCACATTGGGCATGAGGATTTCAACTGAATTCTGGGAGGACACAAACATTCAGATCATAGCACAGTCCTTCTCTAGGAACAGGTTAATGAAACCAAGGTGGGGACAGGCCTGCAGCTTCCCAGGAACCCGTGCTTGCATGCAGATGTTTTCCACACCCCTCCTGTGGGCCAGACCCTGTGCCACATGCTGGGGCTGCAACCACAAGAAGGACAGACACCATGCTTTGGAATGTTTAGCCTAAAAGGCAACCGAGATCCTTTCATGGCAGAGACCTGAAGACTTGAAGCTTCAGGGCATTTGCTGAAAGAATGGGAACCAACTTACTCTTCTGGGC